CTGTGTTACTACCACTGGTGGCAGCCAAAGAATCCCAGTTACTCAGTTCTCCAGTCAGGACCAGGCATCATGGAGCATGGGCAGTCAGCGCCACTTACCAAGTGGACCACTCCAGGCAGAAAATGCACCAGGGTTGCATCAGAGAACAGGAGAGAAGGGTGACTCTCAGCCGTAGAAAGCCCTCAGTGTGTGAACCTGCTGTTCGCCAAAGAGGTGCGATGTGTTTTCAGAAGAAAAACCCTGCAAGCTAACTACCTACAGTTTGCCAGCATAGAAGAGTTTGAATAATCAAGGATTAATTGAGTTTAAAACTTACCAAATTCTGTATCAGCATCAGAATTCAGGGAGAGGAATAGCAATTGAATATAAGAAAAGTCTGGGGCTCTTTATTGGTAAATGTAAATTAATACATTTTAATCCCTGCACATTAAGGAAGAATTTAAGTAGAGAAAGCATTAATTCTAAGAAGTCCTGTCCTTCCTGTCCCCAAAGTGAGCAGCATGAGATGAACCCACATTACCATTTTCTGAAAAGAACTTTAGAGGGGCAGGGGCTTTGGTGTGTGAAATAGTCTTGGTGACTTCCAGAGTGAACCCTCACCCTGAGCCCCTGCTGCCTGCCAAGAAGAAGGCTTTACCTGTCTCTTGGTTTGGGAATCTTCTCTTTTCCTGCACCCAGGGCTGTCGCAAGCATCCCTTTGCTTCTCTGTGGCAAGCACAAGGAGCTCTGGCAAGCCCATCCCCAGGTGACTCACTGTCTCTTTGTTGTGTTATCCCAAGGAAGGGAGGTGCAGCAGCCGCCAGGCCATCCATGGTGACACGGGAGAGCTCCCGCATCTAGGCATCCCAGTGGTATTTTGGAGGAGCCGAATCTCCCGCTTTGGCACTTTTGACCCTCGCTGATCTTCCTTGGTCTTCTAAAGCTATCCATTGCTCTGGGGAGTGGTGACTTCTGAATTTTTAGCAGCCTTTCTTATCCCCAAAACCCATTTGTTTAAGATGGGTTTTGCTTCTGTTGATGCAACTGTGTCTCTAAAACATCCTTCTTACCCTACCTGTTGTGATCAAAGACCTAATACTTAATGGGGTGGAGGAGAAAGTGTGCATTTATGACCTTTTCATTTGATCTTCTGGCCATGTGTTTCGATGGGGGTATATTTCTAATGTTAAATTCAGCCTTGCCTTATTTGATTTTTTTTTTTGTTCTCTCTCTTTCAACTGTTTTGTCTTGATTCTACCTGTTGACTGCTTTTCCCCCCTCTCCTTCCTGAATAACCCATCATCCCTAAATTTGGGATGGCTTTTCCAGGCCTTCTCTTGCTTCTGTTTCTAGACCTTATTGCAGCAAGAGAATCGTGATTGTTCAGCTGCCTTCTCTTCATAGCTTCATCCATTTTGGTTGGCTTGCAGCAATTTCACAGTTATCTGAGTTCCTGAACCATTTCATTTATTGCTTGAGGAACTCAGATTCATAAAGGTTATTTTAAATGTTTTTTTTCTTATTCTCCCTCCCATTTGCCTGGAGCTCCCAGTGTCTGTGAGGCTGTTTGCCGTGCCAGGGGCCACGGGAGCCTCCCTTGACACACAGAGCCCCACCAGACCACAGTTGGGGCATAGCATTCTTGCCTTGCTCCTGTGGCCCCGCTCACCATTTT